GGTTTCTTAGAGACATTCCAGATACTTGTAATGATTCCGTATAAGGTCTGGATAAAGATACCGGGTTGATGTCTTCAATCTGGAAAATTTTAAGCAATTAAGAAGTTGCTTAATTGCAAAGAATTTATATGATCCATAAAGATGGAGAAAGGTCTGAATGAAAAAAGATACAAAAATTAAATGCCTGATTTATATTGATGATGTAATAATAATTATTATTATTATTATTTCACCAACAATAGTAGCATCTATTGAAAATGTGTTGTATACTAACTGCTCCATGCTCATTAACTTAAGTCTCAAAACAAGCCTATGGGGCTGCATATTATAATTATGTCTGCTTCACAGATGGAGACATGGAGAGCCAGACAGAAAGTGACTGAGCCAGGATTCCAGCTGAGGCAATCTGACTCCATGGTCTGCAGTCTTACCTTTTATGCACACTGCTCTGAAATTCCAAAACACATAACATGAAATGTGGGAGTCGTAAATAAGGTACACAATTATAAATGAATAGTGCACTCTAAGTAATCCAAGGAAATTGCTGAAAATATATCACATTCTTAAGCACTATAAACAAGAAATAAATGACTTAGGCTATCAATATGCTAAATTGAGGCATGGGAGGGTCAAATTAAAAGGGACAATATACCCCAAACATTAACTAGAAAAGAGATCAGGCTCAGAGTATCAGCAACGTAAGTAGTTCCTAGTTAAGTGACCCCTTATGTCATCACTAAAGTTCATCCCTCAGTGAGAAGGCATGGGTCTTCAGTGATGTTCTAATGTCTTCCACAATGGCCAATATTACTTTCTTGTAGCTTGTGATTATTGCAAAGTTTGTAAGACTCTTTTACACACATTATTATATTTACTCCCCTTAATTTTTATTCTATATATGATTATCTAATTTCTACCGATTTAAAATGTCAAGATCACAGAATACCCCAGTGGACAGTGGAAATCAGGGGTTTAAAATCAGGTTTGCAGATTCAACTATATTCTATCTTTTAATATCTCCAGCTTCCTCATCTCTAGTACATTTCCCCCTATATCATATTTTTGTTTGTTTCCAATTGGGGGTTCAGATCTGTTTTCTATACCTGATAAAAGAGATATCAGTATTTTTACTCTTTCATTTTTTTTTTCTAATTTATCTCCCATTGATCATAGATACATCTTCTTGGTATGCAAAGGTGTTGTTTTTTCACCTTAACAGATATATGTGTCTTGGATAATGTAAAGAGATACAGGTTGCCTTCCCAGGCAGGGTTTCAGAGGGCATGAGTGCTATTGCGGTGGGCCACCATGGATTAAAATTGTCATTATTTCTGCAGTTTCAGAAACATGGTCTGAAGAGACCACACTCTAGGACTCTTGTCCATTGTGCCTATACACACAATAAGCATCAATTAATCACACTGCAGTGTGTGGATTGACAACAAGAGAGGAATTTCCCCATGAGCAGAATAATTCTTTCCATTAATGGAATTCCAGTGGTCAAAATCATAAACCTTTATAACATTGACTTTTTTCTACACTCTCCACCACCATGTGTAAAAAGCAAAGTAATCATCCAGGAGGTTGTGGGATGAACCTGGAAAACTGAGCCCATTTTAAAGATGTTTTATCCAGGTAAGGGTAGATAATTCTGTGTCTCCGATGGAGAACATTGTTTGATGCTGCTTGGAGTGGCAAGGATGGGCATTCGGAATCTTTATCTCCTGAGCAATTCTATACTGACATTGAAGTAATTTTATTCTTAATCCCTGTCCTCGTCAGTCACTTACAATCCAACATGCTCTAAAAGGGAATAATAGAATGTCTGATAGATCACAGCTTTCTTTGTGTCAATGTCTTTTCAATGATGCCTTCTTTAAACTACACAGTACCATCTCTTGACAGAGACATGAAAAACATTCAATTCTTACCAAATATACATAGTGAAACCACTATGGGGATTAGTTTGAATTATGAATGATAAAACACTCTACCAAATTTCCTTATTCTGGAGATATACCTTTTTGCAAGTCATGACTCCACATTTTTATTTAGTATTGAAGACCAAATGGAACTGGTCATGGGTGGGAGTAGGGACGTATGTTGGCAGATAGTACTAGATAGAGAAACTTGCAGGTCCCTCTGTCTTAAACAATCTTTATGTGTCTCACCCCAGGTT